AAAAGCAATGTGAAATTATTTCTTAGATCTTTGTTAGTAACGCATTTTTGTTGACAAGCCTCCTCCCTTCTACTTTTTTTCTGTGATGCATAATCCAGCAATAGGAGGTTGCTAGAGGAATTGCTATTTAGGTACAACTTGGACTTCATACCTTCTGAATTCCTTACCAACTGATTCCAGGACTGTATGAACATCTAAGATTTGCCATATCATTACTCCCTTCTTGATATAATTAAATAATCATTAGCGAAGCAGTCATAGCAGAGTGGATAAAGAGTTGGTCTTGGAATGAGGAAGACCTGGGTTCAAGTCCCATCAGTTCTCAAAGTGGCGACATCTGGGGATTTCCATAAGATGGAGATAATAATAGCACATAACTTGTTGACTTGACAGCTCCCAGGGCTGTTGTGAGAATAAAATGGGATGATATTTATGAAGCACTTTGCAAACCTTAAAGGGCTATGTAAATCCAACTGTTGTTCATTAAGTCATAGAGCAGTTTTGATATATGTCAGTTGAGGGAGTGTTCATCGCAGCAAAAATCACAGACCCCCAAAGTCTTAAGCTCATTTAAAGGCACATAGAAAACATGTTGCAGCCCAGCCCAGATTACCATTCTATTGGCAGTTCTCATTAACCCCCATGGGACCTAGATGTTTTAGCAGAAAGAGCTTCAGATTTTAGCATAGTTTCCCATAAGGGAGGTGAGGCATGAGCATTTATTCAGCACTTTCTCTGTGCCAGCCACTGTGCTAAGTACTGGGGATCTATATATGAGCAAAAAGAAAAATAGTCTCTGCCCTCAAGGAGCTTCCATTCTAATGAGATCTACCTGTCTGGCAGTACCACAAAAAAGCATTTTTCAGACTGATCACAGACAAATAGAAACCATCCCTGATTTGCACTGTAACACTAAAGGTTTCACTTCCACCTGGAGTCAAATATTGTTTGGAAAGAATTAAATCTTTATTCTTCAACTCCTCTGTCCTTAGATATAGGTGCTATTACTAGGCTGGAGAGACTCTAGGGTCTTTTTTTTATACCCAAAACATAGCACAGTTCCTGGTACACAGGAGGTGCTGAATAAATGTTTATCCCCTGTACCAGAGACTAGGTTCTGGAGGACTGAACTGTTCATCTCAAAATGCTCACCCTGGGTCCCCAAAGTGCTGAGCTACTATCTGTCTAGCTTTAGACATGCTTCACTTTATTTCCTGGACATCTCCTTGCTGGTTGTTTTTGTGCCTCCAGCATCTACATACACCCCAACTCCTCCCCCCTAACTTTCTAGTTCTGAAACCATAATCAAATCAATACTGCCATTGCCAGGCACCCTGTGGGAGAGACAGGAGGCAGCACTTACAAGACAAGTCAAACCACTACCACCTCCTTGACCACCAGGTTTTACAGCCACAGCTACTGAAGACTCAAGAAAGAAAGTTCTTGTCACTGAGAACTGCCAGATGTTTCAACATAAAAAACAGATGTGATTTAATCAGTGGAAATGACATTAGAGAAGAGGCATGACCATCTGCTTTGCTGCTGCCCCTTGAGGACCTTGAGACCTTTTTACCTGACTGGCAGTTGAAACCTTCCATATATGTTGTCTCCCCCATTAGAATGTGAGCTTCCGGAGAGGGGGGACTGTCCAACTTTTCTGTCTGTATCCCTGGAACTGAGTATAGTGCTTTGCACACAGAGCATGCTTAATAAATGCTTTATTCATTCATTTGTTTGCTCATTGTGACTTGAAAGGGTATGTCAATCTATTCCCTACAGTCCCATGCATCACCCCTGAGTCAAAAGATCTGTGTTTGTCCACCACTCCTTGCTGTCTCCCCCTTTCAGGGCACTTGAAGACAGGAATTTGTCTTTGTTTTTGTATTCCCGGGACTTAGAGCAGTAGTTTACATTCATTCATTCACTCATTCATTCATTCATTCAACTGCGTCACAAAAAAAAAAGAGAGTGAGTCCATTTCACACAATATAACAACATGATTGAACATTTAAAATATTTTTGAGCTAAATTTATTTTATCATGATCAAAACAGAGAAACTGATTTGTTAGGAGAGTGCCAAGCTTTATTTAATACATCTCTCTTCAATATTCCCCAATCTTCTGCAATTAAAGTGGGAACCCTAAGTGGAAACTTCAGTCTGGGTCTTGCCAACATCCAGCCCATGATACATGATTCTGATTCATGGTACACAATTCTGCAGTAAGGCACCTGTGTCAATTAGGGACACCAATTTGTCTACAGGAAGAGTTTGGGTTAACCATTCTGGGAAAACCAAGTTCTGTGACAGTAGAAGACATGTTTATAAAGGAGAACTTTTTATAACTCAGGACGATGTTATACTGTTTGGAAGCAACAAGTATTTTAATCAGCTTTGAATAATAATGATATAAGAGCTTCCATTTATAAAGCACTTTAAAGTTTTATAAAGTGCTTTTCCATATGTTATCTCATGTGATTCTCACATTGTTCTTTGAGGTAAATAGTTTGAGTATTATCATCATCATTTTTAAGATGAGGAAACTGAGACTAGAGAGTGACGAGAGTGATGTAATTTGCCCAAGATCATATTCAGTCCAGTACTAGAATCTAGATCTTTATTTTTTTGGTGTATATTATATATGTGTATATATATGTATATGTGTGTATATATAATATGTTTATATATATACACACATATACATATATAGTATATATTTATATAGATGTATGTCTATATATATACACACACATATATATGTGTATTTGATGCTTTTTAAATACACTATAATCATTTCCTAATAACTGCCTCCTTCCCCACTTCCCTGCCCCTTAAACCAGTAGAAACCTCTGTTACAACATCAAGAAAAAAACAACTGTGAGGGAAAACCAACTGAGTCAGAAGCTTCCTCTCCCAATGGGTGACACATTTTTATAACCATAACCTCTCTACCAAGAGAGTGGAAATATGTCTTCTTGTCAGTTTTTTGGAGTCAAGATGAACTCTGAGGACTTCTAATTTTAAATTCAGAGTTTTTTTCCTTTTGGTATGTTGGCTTTTATTATAAGAAAAATTTATCTTAGCCCTGTACTTACATACTTAGAGTTCTAGATTTTGTAGTTTTCAAATTAAATTTTGTACCCCAGCTCAGAGAGTGAATCAGAAAAGATTCTGAGCAAGGCAAAGAGAAAGAAGGGCAAGGAGGGGAGTAGAAGGAACTGTAAAAAAACAGCTTGAATATTAACTAGATTTTTTTTCACAAGTTGTAGTGTTATGAGCCATATATATTTTCCCTCAACTTATTTATTCTTCCTTCCTCCCTTATTTTTTAAAGTTTTACTGATTTCCCTTTTTTTTGCACTAAGATCATTTCCTATATATTCCTGTCCACCACTGAACCCTCCTTTATAACAACAACAAAAACCCAAACAACTAAATGAAACCAGTGCATCTAGTAACCTACTGTATGCCCTGTTCTGTACCTAGAGACCCCTACCTGTCTTTTGAATGGAGAAAGGTAAGTTTCCTTATCAGTTCTCCATTTCTCCCATTATTTCTGAGTGACGTTTGACCACAAAGTCCACATTCAGACAGTATGGGAAAATTCCTTGTTCAGTTTTACATGAGACAGGCATAGAAAGTTTAGTTAATTTAAGTAGCTTCGTTTTTAGTTGTCTCCTGGCGGGGTACCTATTTGACAAAATATCTGTTAAAGGACAACGTCTTCTAGTGTTATGTTTGAAGTTATCATTACATGCCTTACATTCTCATATTCTACTAGTAATATTCCCTAACACAGGTTTATAAAGGACTAATTTTCTAATTCTCAACCTTATAGTGGATTAGGCAGCAAGAGGGTACAGAGTACTGGGCATGGAGTGACAAAGACTTAAGTTCGAATATAGCTTAGATACTTAGTAGCTGTGTGACCCTGGGCAAATCACTTAACCACTGTTTGTCTCAGTTTCCTCATCTGTAAATGGGGATAATAATAGCACCCACCTTTGAGAGTTGTGGTGAGGATCAAATGAGTTTTTTTGTGAAGTACCTTGTCAACCTTAAAGAGCTCTGTAAATTGTAGCTGTTATTATCTTGACAAAGTAGAAGAGATTGACATTATTTGCTTTCCCTTAAGTAATACTTAATCTGTAAGGGGGAAAAAAATAACGTTCACTGACCAGGTTCCCTCATTAAACTTTACCTTCCAAACACACTATTATTTAGATCATCTTGTGCACTTATTTCCTGTCCTTCCACTTAGGTGCTTCTGGCATGGATTCTGGCTTTACATTGCCTTCCAGTTAATTAACTTATGGGATACAATCATTTCACGGGACGCTGATGTAGGAAGGCATCCTGGTGTAGGAAAAAAACAAAATCAAATAGGAGGCAGGGACCAAGGCTGGGTTCTAGTTCTAGTGACCTTGGGCAAGTCCTTACCCTCATTATGCCTCGGTTTCCTCTTCTGCAAAACATTCTTGGACTGCTAGGGTTGTTGATAGGATCGGATGAGATAAAGACAGAATGTGGATTTGAATCCTTGCTCGGCTACCCTAACTTTTACACTAGGTAACTGTGTGATCAAAGGCAAAGCACTTGTCTTCAATGAGCTTCAGCTTTCTCATCTGGAAAATGGGGATAATTCTTACAGCTCCTCATATGGATGGGGCTTTAATGAGACAATGTGCATGGAGTCCTTCATAAAACCTAAAATGCTATAATGAACATCAACTATTATCATTGCTGTTATTATTTCTCTGACCTTGGTCCAGTCACTTCATTTCTCTGGGCCCCTTCCCATATCTATAAGATGAAGGGGTTGGTTAGATGGCCTCTAGATAATGAGACACTTTACAACTCTGTGTCTTATGTAAAATTACCTTTAAAGCAATATACAGCTGCACTAAGACTTTTGGGACACCCTGTATAAATGCCTCCTTATGGTCTTGTGTTGCCAGGTCCCCTGACGCCAGTTGTACCCCTTAAGAAAGGCAGACAGTGTTGTTAGGAAGATTTTATTTTCTAAATGAAGTCATATCTAGAAAAATGAAGTTCTAGAAAACAAACCAGAGAGGCTTATCTTTTGAGTTGTGCTAACTATAACGTCAGCTTTGGTCAACTGGGCTAACCAAGTGTCTAAGTTACATTCTGAAGATGCTTTAGGAAAAAAAATAGCATTACCATTTAATAATCACTTCAAGACAAAGCTGGAGGTTCCATGTCCAGGACATTGTCTACATTTTTATACAGAATGATCTGATGAAAAGGAGGCAAACAACATGAATAGGCCAATGCATTGAATCTGGGAAGTTGAATTATCCAACTTATTCTAGGAATCTTCAATCCTTAGGGTTTAAGAGCATGCCCCTCCCCCCTTTCTGGGCCTCAGTATTCTCAACTGGGAAATGGGGGATTTGGACTAGATGTTCTAAGGCTTCAGATCTCAATCTGTGACAGTGACCATGGCCTGGCCTATGACCTGTGACCATTTCTACACTGAACTTTTAAGTCATCAGCCATTCTTCCCCTCACCTGACTAGATGCATCTTGACCTAGGTCTTTGCTGTGCCACTCCTTACCAGTCTACTGTCCCATTTATATGCTGCCCTATACTTATCTCCTTACCCTGCTTAAAAAAAAAAAAAAGAATAAAGTGGAAACTCCTTGAAAGCAAGGAGGCAAGGATGTTTTCACTTGTATATTTGCATCCTCAGTAGTTAGTATATAGAAGGTGCATAATAAATGCTTAATGATTATATATATGTGTATATATATATATATATTTCCTATTTCATAAAATGATAACATTCCAAAAAGTTTTGGTTTCAGTCTTACATTTCATTTTAAGCACAAAAGCCATAGCAGGAATCTTTGGAACATGTGTGTGTATGCATGTATGCACATATATTTATGGATGTGTATATATCTCATAACATATCATCCATGATATAAAAGAATCCATAAACCTGAATGTCTGGTATTCATTGTTCTATTTGTCCTAATGCTAATGATCTAGCTTCTGGCACCTTTCTGATGACATGCTAAGATAGACAGTGTGTAACTCAGCTACTATATCTCTCTATCTATCTGTTCATCTCTATATCTATGTATGTATACACACGTATATACACATATATGTCTGCACATCCACATCCATGTATGTATATGGAAGTAGGGTTGAGGGTTGATTAGACTAAATAGCAGAGACACACAGGGATCCAGGCCATTCTGTTGTAACTCAGGAGAAGTCATTTGATACTCAAGGAGTCTTCTAGTGCTATGGGATGATGTATTTATTGAAAAGTGGGAATATTAAGTTCAGTTCTGTACCTGGAGTCTGAATATTCTTGTGTTTCCTTGCCTTTTAGGGATCTCTGTTCTTGAATCTCCAAGATTTTCAGTTCCTTTCAAGCCTTGTAGGACACATCCTCCCCCCCACCCAGGCCATTTTTTAAGGAAAAGAAAGGAATCCTTTTTACAAACCAGCGGAGACTTCTTGCTCCCCAGTAGATGGAGTGTATGTTGAGCTCACTCGGTCAAGTGTCTCCCCATGGAAAATGGGGCAGTGTTTGCAGAAACTCCGGACAATGTATTTGCGGAAGAAAGTAGAGAGGTATCTTCTAAACTTTTCCCCAACAAAGGCATAAATCACTGGGTTGATACAGCAGTGAGTCATTCCAAGTGTCTCTGTCAGTTGCATGGCTCGACCAAGGTTCTTGGAGCTATCACAATTGTCTAGACCAAAGAAAACTTGGAATGTATTCAAGAGAAGCACGATGTTATAGGGAGCCCAAAAAAGAAAGTAAACGATCATAATCACAAAGATTAGCCTCACTGCCTTATGTTTCTTCTTCTCATTACGACACCTCAGTAATGTTTTTATGATTCCCGAGTAGCAGATGATCATAATAAAGAGGGGTAACACTAACCCCAAAATATTCATCTTTAAAGTTTGGAAGTTTTTCCAGACAGTGGACTGATCTGATGGGAAATGAGGACTGCAGGTGTGTTGCATGCCTTCCTTTTGAGATTTGGTGAAGATGATTGCTGGGAGAGAGGCAAACCCAGCCACCACCCAGGTGATGACACTCGTCAAAATGCCAAAGGTGACGGTCCTAGCTTTCAGGGCAAACACAGCATGGACAATGGCCAGGTACCGATCGATAGTCAGAAGGATGATGAAGAAGACTCCTCCAAAGAAACCCATGTGATAGAATCCCGTCAGCATCTTACATAGGACATCTCCGAAGATCCACTGGTCTGCAGCGTAGTGAGCCCAAAATGGGAGGGTGACAATGAAAAGTAAATCAGAGATGGCCAGATTGAGCAGATAGATGTCAGTCATGCTTTTCAGCTTCTTACATCTTATCAAGATGAGAAAAACTAGAGCATTGCCCACAAAGCCAAAAATGAACACCAGGGAGTAGAGCGGGGGGAGGAGCCATGATGCTGTCTGTCTCACATCAAAGTTTTGGCAGGGAGCTTTGTAATCATAGTAGAATGGTGAGGTGGTTGACTCATCCATTTTGTCCTGCAAATGAAAAAAAAAAAAACCAAAAATGTGCCATTCCTTCAGTACAGTATCACCAGGAATCACAAGATTATAAATGTAAAGCTAGTAGGGACCTTGGAGATCATCTAGTCCAACCCTCTTGTTTTATGGATGAGGAATCTGTGGTCAGAAAGGTTAATTAAGTTACTTACTCAATGTTAAGTAGGTACTGACTTAGGCATAATTTGAACCCAGTTCTCTTTACTTCAAATTTATTGCTCTTTCTGCTAGAGTGAGCTGCCTCTCAAGTAGTCTATGAGAGATGCATACAATCAATCTATCAATCACCCAACAAGCATTTATTAAGTGTTTGCTGTATGACAGGCATTGTACATGTATCAGTACATATTCATGATAGCATTGATGGTGGTGTTCTTTATCTATGAGGATGATGCTTCTGACCCATTGTCTGGGCTCTAGCATTTATAGAGTTGCTTTAAGGTTTATAAAGCAGAATATGTAAGTGATCAGATTTGGTCATCACAACGACGCTGTAAGGGAGGTGCTCTTGCTAGTTCCCATTTCGCAGATGTGGCAAATCAGTTGGACAGATTCACACTTAGGCTTCCTAACTCCAAGTTCAGCTTGGTGTCATCCAGATGCCGCTAGTCATTATTGGAACATGCTCTTTTAGACATTTCCCCCGCCAAGAAGCAATAATGGATTTGTACCTTTCCACTCCATTCCTCTTGTGACCATAGGAAGATTTCATAAATGTTAAATTTCACATATGGTAATTAGTTTCAGCAAATTCTTTTATGTACTTGGTGTAACAGAAAGAATGTTGTATTGGGGAATCAGAGGGCATGCCTTCAGTCCCAGATCTGCCGCTTGCTCACCATATTATCTTAAGGAAATCACTGTATATTTCTGGGACAAAGTTTGTAGTTGTTGTTGAGTCATTTCAGTTGTGTCTGACACTTTGTGATCCCATTTGAGGTTTTCTTGGCAGAGATACTGGAGTGATTTGCCTTTTCCTTTTCCAGCTCATTTTACAGATGGGGAAACTGAGGCAAACAGGGTTAAGTGACTTGCCTGAGGTAATACAGCTAGTAAGTGTCTGAGGCCAGGACAAAGTTTACTCACTTGTAAAATGAGGGCCTTAGTCTAGATTATATCCAAAGTCCTTCCTAACTCTACCTCTGCTGAAAGTAGAAAACCAGACATGAAATATTCAGCTCAGTAAATAGAAGGGCAAACAGATACAAAATACATGGATTGCTAATTATTCTTCCCTTTTGCGGGCAGCTGTGGCATTTGGTCTGTAGCCTTTATATGTATGTATCTGTGGGCACACATTGGCTGCATCAGACAATTAAGCTCGTAGGCTGTATTGCAGTCAAAGGGTCAAGAATGAACAAAGGCACTGGATGCCCTAGAGAACATCTTAGGGGAGTTATCATGGAAACACCTTCCTTGCCTTTTCCCTTGTTATGGCATTCTTCCTTGGGTTAGGGGTACTCCAAAAAGACTATTGAGATCAGAAGTAAAGTTGAGTGTTCCTTATTTTTTGATGTGGGCGGAGAATTTCACTTTCCCTTTAGAATTACATGAAGTAGAGATAGCAGAACCTGTTGAGGGTCTAGCGGGGGAGAGGTAAGCAAACATGAACTGGACTAATTAAATTAATGGAGTAGATAGTACTTCCTGTGTCGCATTAGATGAAGCTCATTATTTTTGGTGGGAGGGGGATAATCCAACTTGTGATTTCATCAGAGAAGGGACTCCCAATGAGAAAATGCCTTCCATTGATACAGATCAACGTCTCATCTTTAACTTAAAATATTTTTTGGGGGGCAGCACTGGGAAGTTAAGTGACTTGCCCAGAGTCACACAGCTAGTATGCATTAAAGGCAGGGCTTGAACACAGGTCTTCCAGACTACAAGGCCAATTCTTTCTCCACTAAGCCCCGCTGGCTCTTATAAAACTTGTAGAGATAGTGACTGGAGCTATGATTTCATTGGCCTAGAGAATTTTTTTTTTGTTGAAGCAATTGGGGTTAAGTGACTTGCCCAGAGTCACACAGCTAGTGAGTGTTATGTGTCTGAGGCTGGATTTGAACTCAGGACCTCCTGACTCCAGGGCCAGTGCTCTATCCATTGTGCCACCTAGCTGCCCCGGTGGAGAACTTTTGAATGAAAATTCCTTCTATCAATGCAGAGCTCACTTTCTAGAACTTTGAGGGTTGAAGTGACTTGCCCATGGTCACACAGTCACAGCATGTCTGACACAGTGTGTGTCAGAGGCAAAAGTTTAACTCAGGTCAAGCAGTGGCTCTTAGAAAGCTTGTAGGTATCAGGTATGGTGCAAATTGTCCTTAATTAACCAAGAGGGCAGCTAAGTGGCATAGGGCATAGAGTGCTGGATCTAGAGTCAGGAAGACTCATTTTCCTGAGTTCAAATCTGACCTCAGACATTTCCTAGCTGTGTGACCCTGGGCAAGTCACTTCACCTTGTTTGCCTCAGTTTCCTCATCTGTAAAATGAACTGGAGAAGGAAATGGCAAACCAGTCCAGTATCTCTGCCAAGAAAACCTCAAATGGGGTTGCAAAGAGTTGGACACAACTGAACAAAAACAACAGCAACAACAAGAAGCCAACATTCCTCCAGCTTTGCAAGCTCTAAAACCTGAACTTTCTATAAATTATTAAGCCTTCAGATCAAAGGATCAGTGCAGCATAGATTTAGAGATAGAAAAGACCTTAGAATCCAGCCTGGCTCACTTTATAGATAGGAAAACTGAGACTCCTGGGAAGTGAATTGACTTTTTTTTTTTTTTGCATGACATAGTTCCTTTAGCATAAACAACTGAAATAATTACCTGAATCAGAGGGAGAACTGTGACTCCCTCAAAGTCCAGTCACAAGCTATTTTTATATTAGTCATAGCGTGAAGAAGAACTGAATTAAAATCCTTTCCCTGATGCATATTGATTATGAGACCCTGGGCAAGTCACTTAAACTCTCAAAATTCTAGAAAATGAGCTGGGTATTGATAGAAGGAATTCTCTCATTCAGAAGTCCCTGGGGCTAATGAAATCATAGCCCCGGACCCTATCTCTATCCCATAATAGAAAGCAAAAGTTCTTATCGTTTTTGGTGGCACAGATTCTTTGGGTAGTCAGAGGAAGCCTTTGGATCCCTTTGCAGAATGTTTTTAAATGCATACAATTAAATCCATAGGCTTGTCAAAGCAATCAATTATATTGAAATACAATTATCAAAATATTTTTCCATCCAAATTCATGGACTGCCTGAAACTTATCTAGGGACCCGATACCAGGTCAAGAACCCCTGATTGGAAGCCATGCAAGAAGTAAGTTCTTGCAGAAAAGGGAACTTTTGATGCTGTTTGCGCTGGACTAAGCAGATACATAGGAATGCCGTGTGAGGTTGAATACTACCTTAAATGAAAAAACTCTCACCTTCCAACAGTGTTTCTCAGGAGATGGATGAATCACAGGATTTCAGAAGCCATCTAGTCCAGTCCACACCTAAGTAAGAATCCCTAACAGGAGAAGAAATGTAATGAGTCAAGTGCCTGTACTGTTACATATGTAGAATCTTAGCAGGAGAAGGACATTTCCTTCCACGGTGGACATTTTCAGCATGTGACTTTAATCCATCCTTTCTTTCACTGAGGTGGAGGAGAGAGAAGCTGGATAGTATGAAGATGGAGCAAGGAGAGGAGGGAGGAAGGTTTTTCTGCTTAATTTGGAGATAAATTTCAGTCCCCTTTGTGTTTTTTCAGCAAAAATCCCCTCTCTCACTTAACCCCTGAGGGGAATTCCCATTTTTCCCCTTTCTTGATGTCTGGGTTTATAGTCAGAGCAACCTGGATTTGAATCCTGGCATTGTCACCTGTGTGACTTTGGGTTTGTCATGTCACTCTCTGGGCCTTAATTTCCTCATATGGAAAATAAAGGCATTAGACTAGGTCATCTCTCAGATGGCTTCCAGCTGAAAATCTCATTTGCAACTATGCCTCTCAAAATTATCCAGCAATAAATAAGCAATGGTCTAGGGAAAAGCACTTTGCTCTCATCTTGCTGATTGTTTTCAGAGCTAAATGCCACCCAAATATAAATGCACAATGCATTTGCAATGGAATGCTTATAATACCCTCCCTTCTGACTCCCTTTTAGAGAAATAACCATGGTACCAAATAAATAAAGTAATGAGAAGAAAAATCCACAACTCACCAATAGACAGTTTTCTCCAGAAGGCACAAAAGTTTTAACCTTCTCAGAGACTTTGCTGTGAAAATCAGTAGATAAAGCCTGGTATGCAAAAGTAGGAAATAACATTTCCTGCAAAAAAAAGAGGGCGGGGATATACTGAACACGTATACATAGTATAGAATTCACCAAACTTCCCCCCACCCCAACTCTCACAAATCCTCAAACTGAAGTGCCATAGTTCTTCTTCTCCTTGTTCCAGCACTCAAATAGAATGTATCTGTTGAAATCTTATTTCGAAATCCTGGATTTGAGTTAGGCACACCCTGGTATGTGGCTCAGGGTCCTACAATTCTCTTTATTTTACAAGTCTAGAAGCCTCCCCAGATATGGTAAAGGATATCTCCTCTGCCCAATGGCTGGCAATGAATGGTACCAATGATCCCTAGTGATGCACCCACAGTAAAAATTTAGTTGAAATTGGGTGAGATAGGGAGACCCAGTCTCAAAACAAACCTAAAAAAGAAAGAGTTCCTAGCTAATGAATCCCAAAGGAAGAATCAAGACACAAACTTTGTAGGTTACCGTTAAAAGCCTTATTTTACAGATGGCCTGGCACATAGTAGGCACTTAATAAATGTTGCAAAGTGACTGAATGGGGAAACAAAAAAAGAAGAGGGAGACTTCAGACTATCAGTGGCAGAGCTAAAAACTCCAAAGCTGAGATTAGCCATGTCCTCCTAGATACTTCAATGACTCTCCATTGAACTGGGACCTGTTCTTTGCCAAGAAATATAGTACAGAAAACTGTGCCATGGTAAAAAAAGGACTGGAGTCAGGGATGGGAAGAAAGGAATGTTGTACTTCGATTTTTTAAATAATTTATTTAGTATTTTATTTTCCCCTAGTTACATGTAAAAACAATTTTAATATTCGTTTTTAAACTTTGAGTTCCAAATTCTCTTCCTTCCTCCCTCGTCACCCTCCCTGATTGAGAAGTCAAGCAATTCAATATGTTATACATGTGTAGTTATGCAAAACATTTTCACATTAGTCATGTTGTGAAAGAAAACATAGACCAAAAAAAAAACCTCAAGAAAAATGAAGTTAAAAAAGGATGCTTCAATCTGTATTCAGTCACTATGAGTTCTTTCTCTGGGGATGGAGAGCATTTTTCATCATAAGGCCTTCAGAGTTGTCTTGGATCATTGTATTGCTGAGAATAGCTAAGTCATTCACAGCTGATCATCTTACAATATTGCTATTACTTTGTACACAGTACATTTCACTTTGCATCAGCTCATGTAAGTTTTTCCAGGTTTTTCTGAAAGCATCCTGCACATCATAATCACATACCACAATTTATTCATCCATTTCCCAATTGATGGACATTCCCTCAATTTCCAATTTTTTGCCACCAGAAAAGAGCTGCTATAAATATTTTTGTACATATGTGTCCTTTTCCTTTTTGTTTTTTTTTCTCTTTTGGGATATAGACCTAGTAGTGGTGTTAAGTCAAAGGGGACGCATGGTTTTATAGCCCTTTGGGCATAGTTCCAAATTGTGCTTCAGAGTGATTGAATCAGTTCACAACTCCACCACCAGTGCATTAATGTCTCATTTTTCCCACATCCCCTCCAACATTTGTCATTTATCTTTTCTGTCCTATTAGCCAACCTAATAGGTACGAAGTAGTACCTCAGAATTGTTTTAATTTGTGTTTCTCCAATCAATAAGTGAGTTAGAGTTTTTTTTTTTTGTATGGCTATAGATAGTTTTGATGACTTCATCTAAAACTTTTCAAATCTTCTGATCATTTATCAGTTGGGGAATGGCTTTTATTTTTATAAATTTGACTCAGTTCTCTATAAGTTTGAGAAATGAGACCTTTATCAGAGAAACTTGCTTCAAATTTTTTTCACAGTTACTATTGCTAACTGTATTTCCTTCCATTCTATCCCCTCCCCCGTTTATTCTATTCTCTTTCTCCTTTCACCCTGTCCCTCCTCAAAAGTGCTTTGTCTGACTACTCCCTCCCCCAATCTGCCCTCTCTTCTATCACCCCCTTCTCTTATCCCCTTCCCCTCCTACTTTCCTGTAGGGTAAAATAGATTTCTATACTCATTTGAGTGTGTATGTTAATTCCCTCTTTGAGCCAATTCTGATGAGAGTAAGGTTCACTCACTCTCCCTCACCTCCCCCTCTTCCCCTCCACTTTTTTTCTTGCCTCTTTTATATGAGATAATTTACCCAGTTCTACCTCTTCCTTTCCCTTTCTCCCAGTACATTTCTCTCTCACTCTTTAATTTAATTTTTTTTTAGCTATCATCCCTTCATATTCCCTGTGCCCTCTGACTATACTCCTTCTAACTGCCCTAATAGCGAAAACGGTCTCATGAATTACAAACATCATTCTCTCATGTAGGAAGGTAAACAGTTTAACCTTATTAAGTCCCTTATGATTCCCTTTCTTGTTTACTTTTTTATGTTTCTCTTGAGTCTTGTATTTGAAAGTCAGATTTTCTATTCAGCTCTGGTCTTTTCATCAAGAATGTGTGAAAGTTCTCTGTTTTATTGAATGTCAATTTTTTCCTCTGAAGGATAATATTCAGTTTTGCCACGTAGGTGATTGTAATCCTAGCTCCTTTGCCATTCAGAATATCTTATTACATGCTGTCTAATCCTTTAATGAAGAAGTTGCTAAATCTTATGTTATCCTGACTGTGGCTCCATGATATTTGAATTACTTCTTTCTGGCTACTTGCAATATTTTCTCCTTGACTTGGGAGCTCTGGAATTTGACTATAATATTCCGTTTTCATTTTGGGATCTCTTCCAGGGGGTAGATTGGTAGATTCTTTCAATTTCTATTTTACCCTCTGGTTCTAGAATATCAGAGCCATTTTCCTTGATAATTTCTTGAAAGGTGATGTCTAGGCTCTTTTTTTTTTTTTTTTTTTTTGTTATAATGGCTTTCAGGTAATCCAAAAATTTTTAAAGTATCTCTCCTGGATCTATTTTCCAGGTCATTGCTTTTCCAATGAGCTATTTCACAGTCTTCTTTTTTTTATTCTTTTGGTTTTGTTTTATTGTTTCTTGATTTCTCATAAAGCCATTAGCTTCCATTTGCTCAATTCTAATTTTTAAGGAATTATTTTCTTCAGTGAGCTTTTGAATCTCCTTTTCCATTTGGCTAATTCTAGTTTTTAAGGAGTTTTTTTTTTTTCTTCAGTGAACTTTCTTTTGGTGAACTAAAAAATACTCTTTTTCCATTTGGCCAATTCTGCTTTTAAGGCATTCTTCTCCTCACTGGTTTTTTGTATCTCTTTTACCATTTGGCCTAGTCTGTTTTTTAAGGTGTTATTTTCTTCAGGTTTTTTTTTTTGTGCCTCTTTTGCCAAGCTGTTGACTCATTTTTCATCATTTTCTTGCATCACTCTCATTTCTCATCCTAATTTTTCCTCTACCTCTCTTACTTGATTTTCAAAATCTTTTTTGAACTCTTCCATGGCCTGAGGCCAATTCATATTTTTCTTGGAGCCTTTGGATGTTGGAGCTTTGACTTTGTTATCTTCTTTTGAGCATGTGTTTTGATCTTCCTTGTCATCATACTAATTTCCTATGGTCAGAATTTTTTGTTTGTTATTTGCTCATTTTTTTCAGCCTGTTTCTTGACTTTCAACTCTTTGCTAAAGTAGGGCTGTGCTTCTGGGGTGGAGGGCACACAATCCCAAGTTATATACAGCTGTTTTCAGAGACACTTCTAGGGGCCTGTAAGTTTCCAGTTCTTCCAAGGTGGTATGATCTAAGGAGAGGTGTTTCATTACTCCTCTGGTCTGTGGTCTGGTCTGTGGACGACCACAAGCACTTTTTTCTGCCCTGTAACTGTGACAAGGGTGCCTGCTCCACTGCTGCCACAAGCTCTGGTGTGCTAGTACTCTTCCTTGCCCTGCTACCCAGGGACTGTGGAACTGTTACCCAGGACTGTGACATGGATCCGAGTGTGTGCAAAGCAACAGAGTCCTGCCTCAGTGCTAGCAAAGAGACTCCTGGAACCTCCTTCTGACTAGTTGTTTGGCCTCCTTACAGTATGTGGGCTGAAAGCTCTGGGTTTGCTGGGGCCAGGGCTGTCCTGGCCCAGCCTGCTCTGGGCTGTGCTCCACTCTCACCCAGGTGTGACAAACCTTTCCTGCCAACCTTCCTAGTTATCTTTGGCTGGAAAATTATTTCACCCCATTCTTTTGTGGGTTCTGCTGCTCCAGGAATTGTTTCATGGCATTATTTAAAGGTGATTGGAGGGGTTTTGGGGAGAGCTCAGGTGAATAGCTGCCTTTTCTCTGCCATCTCGGCTCCACCCCGCCCAAAGTGTTCTACTTTTAGTCTCTAAGAAGTCTAGTAGTCTTAGTTCATGTAAGTGAGCCATCCACCCCTGCTTAGGATCATGGTGTTAGAGCTGGAAGGGACTTTACAAGCTACTTGGTCCAAACCCCTCATTTCAGAGATGAAGAAACTGAGTTTAAGAGAGATTAAGTGACTTGGCCATGAACAGACACACACATACACAATCCACATAATTCACCTCTCCCCAACAGAGGCACATGCACACACACGTGCATACACACATGTGCCTCAACCCCACCACTACCCAAAACCACATTTTATCTATACTGGAGCAGATTTCCTCGACCAAGCTCCATGAGAGGAAACTCTCCAGGAAATGGCTCACAGAGTCCTCCCTCAGTCCTCCAATCAAGAACAAACAAGGAAATGAGGAGATAAAGAATTTTACCTCTGAGTTTGGACAAAAAAAGAGTTAAAGATTTTGTCCAAAGATAGGGAGCTGATATCTATCAGCCAATAAAGGTAAACATCTAACAGTGGGAAGGGAAAGAAATCAACTTTTCTTTTTTTGTTTTTGCAGATTTTCAAAGTACTGCATTGAGTAACCGTTAACAAAGACGTTCAATAAACAATTTGTTTTGTTTTTGCAGATTAAAAAAAATACTACATTAAGTAACCATCAACAAAGACATTCAATAAAGTACAGTTCTAAAATAAAATCCAAAATAAAATTATAAATTATAGTTAATACAAGAAAGATCAAAC